GTCCCCATTTTCACCGGAACAGGCCATTTAACCATCCAAATGATTTCTAAACGGGTTTATTAAGCTGAAAAAGTTGCCAAGTTCCCCTTTAACAAGATTGGATCGTACAGGATCTAGGGTGCAAGTGGAGGCTCTTCATTCCTACCATGAAAAGTAGGATAGCTCCATGGGGGAAACAAAGGAAAACTGAGGCAGGGGCTGAGTGGTAAGGGGAGTTGTTGATGCTGCTGTAGATTGGATCAATAAAAATAAAAAATAAAAAAAAGTAAGTAGTGAAATTACTTTATTTAAACTGTTATTAGCATCATTGGCCTTAGCAGTATTCAGGCAGAAGAAAGGTCAAGGGGTTTATTACCTGGCAACTCCAATACAACTTCAATTTAATTAAATATTTGAATGTTTTTGATTTCAGTTTTCAGGCTCCAGTGCTGATAGTATCAACAAAGTTTATGGGAAGTTCTGCAGTCGACACAATGAAGCTGTCAATCTCTACAAAGACCTGTATGCCAAAGATAAACGCTTCCAGGCTTTCATCAAGGTCAGCACTCATCTGACACCAGCTCATTTCTATATTTTCTGTGGTTCATCTGCATGTTATTTGATTCTGAACTGACCTCTGTGTATCTTTGTGCTTGTGCAGAGGACAATGAGTAGCAGCATTGTGCGGAGGCTCAGTATTCCAGAGTGCATTTTGTTGGTCACTCAAAGGATCACCAAGTATCCTGTTCTGATCCAGAGGATACTCCAGCACACTAAAGGTAAGGGTGAAGATACCTGTCACATGTCTCTGAAAATCTCCACAGTCAACACTTTCTTGTGGACATTGTATTGTTTATTTGGAATAAGTGTAAAAACTGCCATCATAGTGTGTGTGAGATAGAGTTTTGTACTCTTTCTGAACCCGATTGGACCCGACCCAACTCGTCGGGTTAAGGCCAAGTTGGGTCCTAAAACTGCTGGCATAGCTCAGGCTCAGGTCGGGCTTGATTCAAATACGTTGTTTTTTTTTTACATATATATATATTTTGATAATAATGCATGTCACTGTAATTAATGAATTTGTTTTTATTTAAATTATTTATTTTAAGCGAAAGTTCGGGTCAGGAGAGAAAAGTTGGGGAAGGTCTCATTTTTTAAGTTACCTTACAGCCCATTTATTCATTAACAATAAACAGTGATTAACAATCTGATCTAATACATGTATTAATCAGAATCTTTAATGGATAATAATTCAGTGTATAATAAATGGAGTAGAGACAGAATTGTTGGCCACAGTATCATACAGTACATGGGATAATGAAACAGAATAAGAGGAACAGTGTTTTATGTGGTAACCTCTCTGCTATGACAGACTCCGATGAAGACCACAGCTATGTTTGTGAAGCACTTCGCTGTGTCAAGGAGCTGATCACAGCTGTGGACAGTAAAGTCAATGAGCAGGAGAAGAAACAGAGACTGAGGGAGGTCTACAGGTAAACTACATACTGTATAATCGCTGTGCTGGGGAAAAATGTTTATGTTATGTTTAATATATGTATGTATCAGCTTCTAGATCTGCAGATGGGAAGGATTTAAGTCATCAAAGCAGTAAAATATACAGAACTGACTAGTAATACTAATACTGTTTCCTTTTCTCTCTGTGACTCTGTGACAAATAGGTGAAAAGCCCACATATTTGTCACAGAGAGTCTAAAATAAAATCATAAAAGCTGAGGTTCAAAGCTAAATCTGTTCCTTGGAAACAGCAATTGTGTGTATTTAGTGAAGAGCAGGCAATATGATAGATTTCCTTATACTCTATACTCTACTCTTCTTCCTCTTGTTAATTGCTGTTATATGTTTTCCCAATTTATCCTTTCCTAATGTGGACATTAACCTTTCTCAGTTGTGTCACATATATATATATATATATATATTACAAGCAGAACAAAAGTTGACAGATTTAAGCACCTGGAACCTTTTTCTCAATCCAAATGTGTTTCACCAATGCACTTCTTTGTAACTCAGTGACTACGTTCTCATGCACAAAATATTCTGGGTTTTGCCCTTATTCCGAAAATATCCCTCCCTCTTTCATTTGTATAACCTATAAGGTCGTTGTTGTGATATTTGCACATATCCAGAAAGCTTCTGATATTTAAGTTTTTCATTATGTTTAAAAATAGGTGTGTTTCTCCCTCTGAAATGTGGGCTTTTCTTTTGTGCATTCATCTCTACTCCAGCCTTGCAAACTGTTGGCTAGTTGATTTGTTGACACAGAGCTGACTGTAAACAGGAAGAAACCATGTGCTGCAAACTGCAGTAAAAACCCCAAATGAGACACAAATTCTGAATGCGCTGTATACAAGTAAAAAAAATGCTCCTAAAACCCAAATAATATTGGCATATCTCACATATTTTTGTGATTATTCTACATGATACTTTTGATGACAACCAGCTATCACCTATAGGCTTATCCAATGTGCTCCTGGCTAGATTCTTTATGTGTTTTATGACTTTTTCTTTCTCCCTGACCCGCCGGAACAGCACCGTCTCGGTTTGCCGGCACCTGCTGATATATGCTGATAATGAGATAGTGATGAGTTAGTTATCTTTTTCAGCTCAGGTGTAGTAATCACTCAAAATCAGCAGGGGAAGGCACGTAGAAACAGCTCTTTAGCTACCTGTGCTCTCTCTCCAGGCCCAGGAGAGATGCTATTTTATTAATAATTCTAGTGTACCATAGTCTCCTTCATAAACAAGCAGAATATAGAGAAAATAACTGACCAAACTTATTTGTATTATATAGAGGTCTCTACACTGTAGCAGCCTTCTGTCATATTCAGGTGATTTAAAAATAAAAAATGATAAAAATAATAAAAATAAAAGGTTTATTCATTAGGGTAAACGCAATACACAACTGTGCATAACAGCACTGTACTGTGTGCGCTCATTTATTCACTCATTCTTTAACTACACAAAACTGAATCAGGGTTAAAAGGCGTTTGTCGTTAGTTCCCTGAATGTTTTTACACCTCATCTACGCTCCACTTATTTACTTGGTGTCTTTTTTATTCAGGTATAGCGTGTACATGTGGCCTTTCCTACAGTTTGCCAAAGTACACGTGTACATGTATATGTGCAGGTATGCATATGAGGAATGCAGTGAAGGTACTGCATGTTAGTTGGCTAAATTGTTCTGCACAACATCGCCTTGGGAGAGGGGGCTGTAACCGACATACATGCTTCTAAAAGATCAGTAGGCAGTCCACAAACAGATGAGAGCTCACAAACTAAACTATGCTTTCATAACATGACAACTTTGGTCCACAGAATCCTTTTCAGAGACAAAAATGTTCTAAAAAATAGGCTTATAAATTGTAATAAAGGTACACTGCAGGGCAGCAGCTTTGAATAAACAATTAACCTACCTTACTGCAGTCACACAGTCTCTTATTGCCTATTCCAAAAGTGACCTCATTATTTCTAAAATCCTGGCTATGGACTTATGAAATGCTAATATTTAGAATAGTGGAAAATGAAATTAGTGTGCATTGAAACGTAGTCAGTGTGGACAAGGGATACATGCCTGAAAAGTAAACACGTTTTATTTGATCTCCAGTCGCACTGATAGCAAGTCCATCATGAGGATGAAGAGTGGTCAGATGTTTGCTAAAGAAGACCTGATCAGAGGGAGGAAGCTATTGCATGATGGAGCGCTGCAGCTAAAAAACACGGCTGGAAGACTCAAAGGTTCAAGATATTTCCAGTCTTCATGCATTTTTAAACACATGCTTTCCTTGTTCTTCAGTCCTCACAGCAGACAGGAAGTTACTATCATCTTTGTTTCTTGGTGTTGCAGATGTCCATGCCATGCTCCTGTCTGACGTACTGGTCTTTCTTCAGGAAAAAGACCAGAAATATGTGTTTGCTTCACTGGTAGGTAGCATGTTGCATTTTTTATATTTAAAGATGCTGTATAGGACTTTCAGACTCATGTCACACTAGAGCACGAGCATCACAGACCTAAACAAACAATTTTACCTTCCAGATCATAAAACACTCACACAATAAAATGGTAAATGGACTGTACTCATATAGCGCCTTTCTAGTCTTTCGACCACTCAATGCACTCACCCCATCATACACTGATGGTAGCGGCTGCCATGCCAAGTGCCAACTGCTCACCGGAACGGAAACTAATCATTCATATACCGATGCATCGGGAGCAATTTGGAGTTCAGTGTCTTACTCAAGGACACTTCGACATGCAGCGAGAGGGGATCAAACCGCCAACCTCCCAATTAGTGGACAACCTGCTCTACTGCTGAGCCACAGCCGCCCTGGCTCACCAAGACAATTTTTGTCAGTCCTAACATTCGCCAACTCTGGTTTGGTAGAAATAAATCCTTAATTCACAGAAGTAGATGAGAAAAACAGCAATTTCAGTCACTATTCTCAAAGTCAACAGCTGCACACATAGAGACTCACACTAACATGCACACGTGGCTGGACCGGGGAAGTAAACAATGCTCAGGGATCAACTAGGGAGACCACTAAATATTTACATAGCAAATACTTGTTTGCTGCTATATTAATGTTCTATATCTCGTTTGTATAACCTTTAATTTAAATAAACAATGTATGCTCAGTCCATCCATATTTTCATGAAGACTCAGTTTGACTTGGAACTCTCTGTCCTCAGGACCATCGCTCTACGGTTATCTCTTTACAGAATCTGATTGTCAGAGAAGTGGCTAATGAGGAGCGAGGTCAGTCATTTTCTTTCTCTCCTTTGTTGCATTTGTTTTGTAATTTTCTTTTCTTTTTATACACAGTGTTACATCCTTTTCTTAAACTTTAAACAACTCAGTTGGTCATGTTGGATGTAGGACAAACAGTATGGTTATGTTCAACCAGCACTCAATTCTGATTTATTGCTCAGATCTGATTTGTTTTGTTTGGCTGTTCACTGTTTTTTAAATGTGGCCCATATCAGATTCCAGTGTGAACAGGTCAGGCTCCTGGAGTGCCCCGCATGACAACCGTAGGTCTAGAGTGACATAAAAGTTAATGTATTCTGATGACTGTTCATGTTGAAGTCACATTGCAAAAACATATGAAAGTGACCCAAATCAAAAAAGAAAGGGATTCCATGTGGTTTGTCCTGTTCACACAGTCTTAAAAAATCTGATCTGTCTCATATGAGTCTAAACGTGGCCCATAATACAAATAAACCTGACAATGTACGTATTGTATGTAAGTGTGTGTATATGTATGTGTGTATATATGTCAATCAATTATGTCAATCAGTGAATTGGGTAAATAAAGACTGAGTTCATGGGAAAAACACTGATGGAGGTTTTATCTCCTGCAGGTCTCTTTCTGATCACAGCTGGTACAGACAGACCAGAGATGGTGGAGGTGTTGGCCAGCAGTAAGGAGGAGCGCAACACATGGAGGGCCATTATACAGGACGCCATGCAATGCATGTGAGAACACACACAATATATTATGTTCTCATTCTTATTACTGTGACAAACTATGCATGTGTAGGACCCCCTTTTACAGCCAAAGCAGCCCTGACCCGTTGAGCTATGGACTCCACTAGACCTCTGAAGGTGCACTGTGGTATCTGATACCAACACGTTAGCAGCAGATCCTTTAAGTCCTGTACGTTTATCCTCCATGTATCAGATATGTTTGTCCAGCACATCCCACAGATGCTTGATTGGATTGAGATATGGGGAATTTTGAGGCCAAGTTAACAACTTGAACTTGTTGTTGTGTTCCTCAAACCATTCCTAAACTCTTTTTGCTTGTGGCACAGCGAATTATCCTGCTGAAAGAGGTCACTGCCCTCAGCGGAAAACTGTTTCTATTAAAGAGTGTACATGGTCTGCAACAATGCTTAGATAGGTGTCATGTGTCATCCACATGAATGGCAGGACCCGAGGTTTACCTGCCAAACATCACCCCGAAGCATTACACTGCCTCCGCCGGATTGCCTGTACAGAAAGTGAACTGTACTCAGTAACGAAGAGTGACAGGAAAGATATGATAGACTTGATTGATCCCACACTGGGGAAAT